ATAAACTTTAGATGCATATTTTCGTAACCCAAAAATGGCAAATTTGAACTTGGCTGAGAGTTTGAACACTTGAAATCAGCATCAAACTCATTCTTCTTCCACCTTTTCACTGTTTGATTGAATATTTTGAAGAAATCAGTTGGCTTGTGTTTTTGTTGGCCTTAAACCCAACTACATTATTGGCACTTTTGCTTCTTTGTGATGATAGTATACCAGCTGAAAAGAAATCCTTACTTAAAGTTGTATGCCATTTTTCCCTCAAATTGTACAACCTATTAAACCATATGTTGTTTTATAGCTTATATTTCTCTATCATATCATCTTAGCATGTCTGAAATTCAATCATATAATATTTTAGTTGATAATGTACATAGATAACTTATAGGGTTTAGTTGGGGTTACTTAAGAATTAAGGGGTTATCTAAGTTTTTAGGGGTCACTTAAAATCTGATAATAATTTAGAATTAAGGGGTTACTTAAATTTTTAGGGGCTACTTAAGAATTAAGGGGTTATTTAAGTTTTTAGGGGTTACTTAAAATCTGATAGTAATTAAAAGTTAAGGGGTTTCCTAAGAATTAAGGGGTTACTTAAATCTTTAGGGGTTACTTAAAATCTAATATTTTTTCTTAATTTAACATAACACATGACTCAGTTATAAACACATAATTATTAACACAAATTTTAAATAAGGAGTTACTTAATTATAATGGATTACTTAAGAATTAAGGGGTTACTTAAGTTTTTAGGGGTTACTTAAAATCTGCTAATTTATAAAGGATTAATTAAAATAAGGGATACATAAGTTTTTAGGGGTTACCTGAAATTCTTCTTCAGTGACACAACCAGAAAGGCATTTGTTGAAGGCATCTTTGAATGATGTATCCCTTTTTAAGGCTCCAAACCTTGATACATCATTTTTTAAATGCCAATTACATAATCTGTGTCTTGATAGAGGAAATACCTGCAAAGTATTAATATAGAGGTTACTTAAGTTGTGACATATTCATGGGTTACTTAAGTTGTTACAAAAGGTAAGGGGTTACTTAAGTTGTAATAAAATGTAAGGGGTTACTTAAGTTTTAAAGGTACGTTAGTTATAATACATGTTTTGAGGTTACCTTTTCAATTGCTTTAGACATAGCCATGTCTTGATCAGTGAATATAGAGGCAGGTTCACTTCAACCCATTGATTTCTTGAATGTGGATAACAGCCACTCAAATGTCTCGATTTTCTCATCAGCAATAAAAGCACAACCAAACATAACAGTCTGCCAATGATTGTTGACACCAACAATAGGGGCACAAATAAGGTTATATTTGTTTGTCATATATGTGGTGTCAAATATTACAACATCTCCATAAATTTGAAAATCTTCCTTCATTTCAGAGTCCCTCTAAAAAATAACATTAAGTTTGTTTTGGTTTTCACCTCCTCCTAACTTAAATCTAAAAAAGAATAGGAGTTACTTGTTAATAAACAGGGGTTACTTAAAAAAAATGGTCACTTAAGTTATCACTCAGGGTTACTTATAGGGGGGTTTACCTGAAAAACAAATCTCCATCTTTAGTTTGCCTTTTTTATAATCCTTCTATCACATCTTGTGCATCACCTCCTTGAATTTCTTTCATTTTCTTTCTTGAAATGTAATTGTAGTGGTTAGTCATAGTGTGTCCAACATTCTCTTGCCCACCTACTTCATTACTTAATAATCTGAATGCTCTTGTTGTTCCTAATCCACTCTCTGCCATTATATCAATGACTTTAGCTTTGTCCTTTGTTATTTTTCTCTCTAATCTGCGTAGATGTTGTTATACACTTCTTCTCAACTCGTGGTTATGTGCCATAACATGCTCTTCTACTTGAAACATTCCATCTTTATTTATTTTTGCTCTAATGAATGCTTTGCAGCCAGTTCTGGTAATACGTAATTGGTGTTTTATTTTTCTTTTCATTTGATGGATGTGGTGTTTTTATAACTTTTGGTGCACACCTGAATCCTTCTTTAGAACAAACAATATCTTTTCCTATAAGTTTTCTGTCTTTCTCTTGTGAGTACCTTGTTGTTGAGTTTCTTAAACTAAATCCTATAACTGTAGCATGAAGCTTATATTGATCATAAATTTCATTCAAAGTTGTTGTTGTAAACCCTACTAGACTTCTTGCAAATTTAGCAATATTCTTTTGTTGAAGTTCATCTTGAACTCCACTTTCTTCTGTCAATGTACTGTGACTTGTTTCTGTAATAGTTGTATTTATTTCAGCCAAAAAAAAAAAAAAAATTAAAGTTCGTAGTATGTATTTGTTACAATACACAATGGGTTACTTTAGTTATAAGGGGTTACTTAAGTTATAAGGGGTTACTTAAGGTTAAACTTTAGTCATAATAATTATAAGGGGTTACTTAAGGTTAAACTTTAGTCATAATTATAAGGTGTACTTAAGTTATAAAGGGTTACTTAGATTAAACTTTAGTCATAATTATAAGGGGTTACTTAAGTTATAAGAGGTTACTCTAAAATAACAAGTTACTTAAGTTGTAAGAATTTTTAACATCAGGGGTTACTTATGTTGTAAGTGGTTACTTAAAAATAAAGGGTTACTTGGGTTACTTATTACAATATATATACAGGGGTTACTTGAGTTACTTATTAAAGTATTAAAATAAGAGGTTACTTAAGTTATAAGAGGTTACTTAAAAATAAAGGTAACTTGGGTTATCATTACAATATATGTACATGGGTTACTTATATTACTTATTAAAGTATACAAGGGTTACATGTTATATAATCATGGGTTACTTAAGTTATAATAGGTTATTTAAAAATAAGGGTTACTTGGGTTACTATAACCAGGGGTTACTTTTTAGTTTATTAAAAATTTCAAGTTTGATTACTTATAGGGGTTACTTTATTTACCTTGGAATTCATTACTGACATTAGATACTTCGATTTCTCTGCATTTGTTTTCGTCTTCTACATCAAATTCTTCATTTATGTCGATTTCCAGATTCATCAATGAATCTCCTATTTCTTTGATCCCCATTGATTCTTGTGGATCTGGTAAGTTTTGTGATTTTTCTGTCATATTAATTGAGTTGAAATTTCTAGGAAAAAATCGATCGATATTAGGTCGAATTAATCGAGTTGAAGTTTCTGGGAAAAAAAGTTGATCGATATTAGATTGAAAAAAACCAAGTTAAAATTTTGGTGGTTGTTTTCTCGAATTGATCGTCGCTTAAAAATGTATTTTCTGGGTTTTTAGGGTTTAGAGATTCGTGCTGGAGCTTTTTATTGGTTTCAATTGTTTTTTTGGGAAAGAAATGCGCATGTATATAAATCCCGTTATGCGCGCGTTAATCCCGTTATTTATGCTGACTTGGCAGCGTGCCGCATGGTGCAACGTGTTGTACCAAAAAAGCACTGTTCATATATACATTGATTTGGAAAAAAAAGCCACATTGACTAATATTGGTGCTTTATCCAACAATTAAATATAGTTGCGTGAATACTTGTTATAATAGTATTAATGTACACTTTCCCAGGCCAATATCAAATTTTATATTTTGTATTTGTTGATAGTTTCAAATTGTTAAATGTTCTTTGTTGATATATATGCCAGTCATGCTGAATTATTCAAAATGAAGAGAGTAATAATCAACCATTTCTAAACATTTATTTTTTTAAAATTTATTTTACAAATAATATGGTTTATATTCTAGTTTTCAATATACTACAATCAAATTAAAAAGTATTCCCTATGTTCAACACTTATCATATAAAACTTTGACCAATAGATTATACTTATACATTATTGTTACAAATATAAAACTAAGTAAATTAATGGTCAAATACAAGCATTGGAAAACAAGCTATGCATGAAAATGGCAAGAACTCTATGAATGGAGGGAGTATTCTAGATCGGAAAGCTAGTTTTCCTCTTAATAAAAATGTGAAAATGAATACTATGTAGTATGTACGAAGCTTTCATATTAAAAAAAATAATTAAAAAATTATATTTGTTGCCATGAGCCCATGAGGATTCGATCCCCTGACCTGCACGCATGCAAAAATATCTTTACAACCCCTATACCACCGGAGAATCGCTGACTACTTTAAGTACCTATGCAAGGTATAATAATTGTATAAAAACATTTCTGTAGCATTTTTAAAGGGTTTTTTTTTTTTTTTTTTTTTTCTTTTTTTTCTGAGGGGTAACACGTGCTACCCCTTGCTCCAACGTAGGTCTGCCAGTGTGGGCGAGCCAATTTGAAAATTATCAATAATATTGAAGGACCTAAAAAAATGGTGACTATGAAGAAGACCTTATGGTTCAATGGCCTAGGCCAGGGGTTGCCTTGCATCCTCGGGGTTCGAGGTTCATGTCTCATCATGAGCAAATCCCTTTCCCTTACTCCTAGGTATTACCACTGTGTTAGGAGCTACGAGTATTAATGAGTAGGAGGAATTCAATAAATAAAGGGAATAAGTTATAATTAAACATTTATTTCATTCGTTTTTTTTTAATCCATCACTTAGATTTGTATACTATTTAGATACTTAAACTTTTTTGTTTTTTGTTTTTTTTTTTTTTTTTTGATTGGTCACATGATTGTCAACTTTTTTAATTTAAAATTTTTAAAGTTATTTTTTTTATTAATGATTAAAATTGTGTCTCTTGTATGTTTGTATATACTAATCAAAGTAATGCAAAAATGAAAAATAATAATAGGAAGCATTTATTTATTTTGAGATAAGCAGTCACATTTATTAGGAGTACTATTTAGATGGACTTCAGTTCAACACTCTTAGTTTTCAGTCACTAAATTTGATTATTTGGCCAAATATTGACAATGGAAAATAATGGATCGGACCATATTATACGATACCAAAGATGTTGACCGAATTCCTTCAATAAACATGTTGACCAAAGACAAGTATAACATCCACGAAATTTCCAAACAATTTGTAACCTTGTTTCCAAAATTAAAGAAAAGTATTACACGGTAATTAAACCGACGGTATGAATTGGCAACCCAAATGAATTTACATACTTGTGTAAATTATCACTCGAGAATTTTTTTAATCAAAAATTTTGACATGGCCAATTATGTTATAATCTTCTCTGTTGTCGCCCTTGCAGTGCAGATGCACCTATTTCTAGGTACTTTTTTTTTTTATTTTTTTTACTTTTTTATAGAAGCATGTTTTTAGTACTTCATATAAAATGCAAATGTTAATTTTAAAATGTTCTCTAGGTGCATTATCCATGACTGTGTTTTCTTTTCTAATCGGGGATGAATATTAATTAGGTGAAGCAGCTACATTTACAATAGCAAACAACTGCGGCTACATTGTGTGGCCGGTCATACAAAGCACCAACGGGGCTAGCTTGAATGATGGATTTTCCCTGACCAATGGTTCTACTAGGGTCATAATCATTAATATAAGTTCGACGGGTAGGCTTTGGGGGCGAACCCATTGCACAACCAATAGCTTGACAGGAAACTTCTCATGCCTAACAGGTGATTGCGGCACTGGCAAGATGGATTGCCAGGGAAGGCCTTACACATCCCCAGTAACTTTGGTCGAGTTTGCTACTAACCAGATTAATAACTATGACTTTTACGATATTAGCGTTGTTGACGGCTACAACCTCCCGGTGGCGATGGCTCCCTCTTCAAAAGGTGGCATCAAAAGCCGCTGCGCCGTGACAGGTTGTGTGTTCAACTACGACCACGGATGTCCTGACGAATTAAAGGTGACCACCAATCAAACTGTAATTGGGTGTAGAAGTCCGTGTGATGTATTTCATACGAACGAGTCTTGCTGTACGAATGCGAACGACTGTCGAAGTAATAGCTTCTCACTTGGGTCGCTAATATTCAAGAAGGCTTGCCCACGCGCTTACAGTTATACTTTGGATGATCAAACATCTACCTTTGACTGTCCCGGTGATCAGACATCGTATGAAATTACCTTCTGCCCGTCACTAACCCTTGCAAGGTGCATTCAACTTTCCCGGCCTCCATTTTTTTTTATAATTATTTGCCCATTTTATTTTCAAATTTGGAATAATCGATTATAGCATTAACTTTTACATATGGCTAGCCACTCACTGACTCACCATGGGATAACTCAGTTAGTGTTATAGTGATTATTTTATTAGAGTTATATGTGTTACTTAATTAGTAATCATATAGAAATTGTTGGATATAAAGACTAAAGTTTGCAAAAGGTAAATTAGAAGAAAGCAAATTAAGAAAAATTGCATTAAACAAAGCTGTTTACAAGGCCTTAAATAGTACTCCAAAATAACTAACTACTACCTGTAAAATAGGAACGTGAGATACATTATTGTGTGTAGTGAACCCACTAACACCTAATACTCCTCAAGTACATGAAACATGCTTTTGACTAATTAAAAAACAAAGGGACCCACTAACACCATATACTAGAAAATAGGAAACAAATAACTAACAAATATTTGTAGCATTATCAAACAGAAATTACCATGCAAGTGCGGTAGGGATTACTTCTTATTTAAGGATAACACAATAAATATAATAATAAGGGGTTATTCTGTCAGTAAAATAAGGGTTACTCTGTTGTTTAATGAGCAGCCACACAGTGTAGTTAGCCGCATAGAAAAAGCGTTGTATTATCCATGAATTCATTGATGGCCAGGCTCATCCCCTCTCATATTTGTCCACAATTTTCTTTTGACAGGCGCTTTTAGTAGAGTATGTACTTATAACTAATACAAATGCAATACACAAAATCTTTCAAAAGCTAAAATATTATTAAGTAGTCTCACTTCCAATGTGACCAATAATCATGGATTCTGTCTGGCTATTGATGTTGGGATTTAGGCTTAGAATTGTAGAAAGTGGTTCTTTCACATAGTCTTAAGGTGTTTTATAGCTTCACACTATATTAATTTACTTCGTATTTTGTTATTGTAATTGATAAACTCATCAGAGTACTCACTGATTATTCATGTACATCAATTACTAATTTGTGAATTAACTTTCCTTAATATGTCCAGTGCGGTATCTCAACCATTACAATCACCATCATCCTCGCCATCGGTATCACCATCATCACTGCCAACGCCAAAAACACCTACAACAAATTCTTCCCCTACAAATATATTTCCAAGGAATACCACGAAGCCTCGTTTGAAAAGTAAGTTAAAATTTTTACTTTCCTGTACTTTTTAGTACTCCCCCGTCCCTTATTTTGAGAGGAAGTTTACTATTCTATTGGGTGTCCTAACAAAAAGGCTATTGTGAAAGAGCTATACAAACTCCAAAACAATCAATCCTCAAAGTTTGCATACAATCAATGATGAAAAAATTAACAATAAATGCAACAAACATGCAGGTGTTTCTAAGAGGAAGCGTACTATTCTATTGATTGCCTTATCAATATCGATCGCATTATCAATTTTGTTGTTGTATGGAATTTGGACTTGTATATTCAAGAGGAAAGTCATCAAAACAACTACTAGTTGTAAGTAAAAGACTTATATTCCCTTTGAAACCATTTCTTTGTTTTATTTTGGAAATGCTTGATTATCATTATAAAGTAATTTTGCGGGAAACTAACTTATCGGTTTTTGTGAAAAACTACTTTATTAAAAAAAAAATTGTAATAAACTACCGATTAATCATAAAATATCGTAAAAAGATAGCTATAGCCAGATTCCGGAAAGTTTGACTATTTTCCCGCATTGACTTTTTGTTTATTGCCTTTTTTCTTCTACTTCCCCTTCATTTTCACCCAAAATTATATCTTTCTCGGAGCTCTCATCATGTTATTCTTCTCATTACTTCATAAACTACTCACTAAACCCCAAATTTTCGTTCTCTCCTATGTCCTTGAAGAAGACCAAGCCATAATAAAGAAGGAGATAGAAAGAAGCTAAGGAATTGTTTTAAAGGATTAAGAAGAGAAATTTGCTATTATTTGAATCGGAAGAGTGAGAATAGAAGGTAGCGAGTTAGGAAGGATGTCTTTGGGGCCATTATTAACGGAGGAAAAAAATAAGTAAAAAGGGCAAAAAAAAAAAAATGTCGACGCTCGAAAATAGTCAAACTCTTGGAATCCGACAATATGTACCTCTTTACAATATTTTATGCTTTAACAGTTTTTTTTGCAAAATTTTTGTTTTATAAGGTAGTTTTTTCACAAAAAATGTTTTTTATAAGGTAATTTTCCATAAAATTTCCTTATTACTATATATTTTTTATCTAAATGTATAACAGCGGAGGTGTCTGAGATAAAAAAGGTTGTAGTGGACTCTTTGCAATATGACCTAAATACAATTCGAATTGCAACAAACAATTTCGCAGCAGAAAACAAACTCGGAGAAGGAGGATTTGGTGAAGTTTACAAGGTAATATGAAGAAAAATCACTTTTCATTCAATAAAATTAGCAATTTCTCGAATTATTATTTATCTAGTGGCCCAAAGAAAGAAAGACGAATATATGTAACTAGCTGCATTGGGGTTTTGATTTTAGGGAAAAATTGAGAATGGGCAGGAAATTGCTGTCAAAAGGCTATCCAAAAACTCGGGACAAGGAGTTGTAGAGTTTAAAACTGAAGTTGATGTAGTTGCAAAACTTCGACACAAGAACTTGGTCAAGCTCTTGGGATTTTGTGTAGCATTGGAAGAAAAGATACTTGTCTATGAGTTTCTCCCAAATTCTAGTTTGGACAGATTTTTGTTTGGTAATTACAAATATTGAAGTCATAAATTAAACAAAACGAAATTCACTTGTGCATCAGAACCTCATTAATAATTTGTGTACATATTTGTATTGTATGCAGATCAAACAAAGAACGTATCTTTGGATTGGCAAACAAGGTTCAAGATTATAATTGGTATTGCTAAAGGGCTATTATATCTTCATGAAGACTCCCCACTTAAGATCATTCATCGAGACCTAAAATCAAGTAACGTATTACTAGATGATGATATGAACCCAAAGATATCGGATTTTGGCCTCGCTAAACTATTTGGTGTCGATCAAACTCAAGGTGACACTAAAAGGATCGTTGGAACATAGTAAGTTCTCTATACTCAACTATTTTACTGATTATTTAGTTAATTGCCACCTTTGTTGTAATCCTGGTTGATAAATTATACCTAGATTTAAGCATGCTAGTATTCATGATAAATTCCACTGTATATCGATTTTTAATCATTAGCTCTATTTATCATTGTGATATGCAGTGGTTATATGGCTCCTGAATATGCAATAACAGGACATTACTCAGTAAAGTCGGATGTTTTTAGTTTTGGAGTCTTAGTTCTTGAGATTGTGAGCGGTCAAAGAAATAGATTTTTTGGACGATTGCAGCTTGAAGAAGCATTACTACACCGTGTAAGTACTTTAATTTATCACATAATTCATGTACACTATCTTCACATACTTAATAATTAATGATGATTTATGATCGACCCGTATAAAATAACAATTTTTTGAAAGATCATTAATTAACCTTTCGATCACTTGCCGAACAGGCATGGAGGTTGTGGAATGAGGAGAAGACATTAGATTTGGTAGATACAACATTGGACAGCTTTCCAATCGACGAAGTAACTAAATGCATCCATATTGGTCTTTTATGCATTCAAGAAGAAGCTGTCGTAAGGCCAAGAATGGCCTCTATTGTTGCTGCCCTTAATGGACAAGCACTTAGTCTTCCAGTGCCGAAACCACCCCATTTCTTTGGTACTGATAATAATGTAGAAGATAATGAGATGCAATATAATTTTCAAGATGTATACACAGGTACTACATCGATTACAGAATTGTATCCTCGCAACTAGCCTGCTTTGTTCTTTCATTTTTTTTCCTTACATTGCACTAATACGAGAGAAAGAATATCAACATTTTATAATTTTTGGTATCATGTAATTAATGATACGGACTAGTGATAGTAAAGGCATGTCTTAAAAATCGTGTAAATGTACTACATCATGGTACCGAGGAAATGTTATAGTCCAAATGATAAGGGAATAGATAATGTATTTCTCATTATTTTTTTATTCTGTAATTGCAAAGTAGTGGTTTTCACATTTGTCAATGCAAATTTTATATCATTAATATCTATATTTATACTGTGATAAAAAAATTATAAAAATTAATATTCAAAAAGTATATATTAGGTGTATTCTATAAGTGAAATTAAAGTAAACAAAACATGGTTTATGAGTCTAACAAAACTTTATATGAATATGTATGTTAGGTTTATTCTAATATATAAATCACAAAAGATGATAAAAAATATATGTGAATATAGTAAAATTCTTACCGTTGGCATAAAAAAATGGAGGAATTACATCTTAAAATACAAAAACTATTTTTATTCTTGATCGACAAACGTAATGTAATTGACTAAATTCCTCTAGAAGAGGTCAAAATAATATTGTACGTCGTAGTTTAAGTTTATGTTACAAAGCACCAGCCCAAATTCCCATCATTCCTTTTCAATTCTAGCAATTAATTAATCAATATTATATATTTAGGATCAATGAATAAATAATAACCCCTACATTGTTGACTTAAGAAAAGTATGACCCAGATCATTAAGCCGACGGTCATAGTCGGTGACCCAAATGTATCGGACATCTTTCACAACTAACAACTTCTGAAATACGGTTTACTATTATATGTGATTCGTTTATATGCTTGTGAAATCTACTTAATAAACACAGCTTTCAATTTCATCTAATTCAACAATTTTATATGGCCAACTATGCTTCGATTTTGCTTGTACTTACCGTTGTCGCGATGATTCAGCTATATTCAGGTATTAAATTTTACCAACAAATGTTTATATTTGTACATTTTGATGGTTCATAAGCTTATTTTTTAAGGGACTGAATTTATATCAGGAGTGGCAATCACATTGAAGGTAGAAAACAACTGCGACTACACGGTATGGCCGGTCATAATCACAACCAATGGGGCTAGCTCGAAAATTAACGTCTCGAATGGATTTCCCTTACTACGAAATGATTCGAAGGTGATTAACATACAACCAGGTTGGTCGGGCCGGCTTTGGGGGCGAACCCTCTGCACCACTAATACCTCGACAGGAAATTTCCGTTGCCTCACCGGTGATTGCGGCACTGGCAAGATAGAATGCCAGGGCATGTCATATACAACCCCGGTAAATTTTATCGATTTGAATACGTCTCATAATGGTAACCAAGATTTGTATAATGCTAACGTCGTTGCTGGATACAACCTCCCAGTGACGATGGTTCCACAAGGTAGCAATGGAAGCCGTTGTGCGTTGACTGGTTGCGTGTTTGACTATGAATACGGATGCCCCGACGATCATAGAGTGATTACTAATGGTACCATAATAGGATGTAGAAGCTCGTGAGACGCATTTCATACAAATGAGTCTTGTTGTACAAATGGCAACGACTGTGAACGTAATAGCTTCTCAGTAGGCTCGTTAATCTTCAAAAAGGGCTGCCCTCGCGCTTACAATTATGCGTTGGATGTTGCCAATTCTACCTTCATCTGTCCCAGCCCTCAGACGTCGTATACCGTTACATTCTGCCCGTCACCTAGCCTCGCCAGGTGCATTCATATGACTTTTCTAGTTGTTTTTTCAATTTACTAAAATATCATACTTAATCCGTCTTTGAAAGTTTTTTCTACTTGGCTTGTTTTACAAAAACTATCCAAATAGGAACAATTAGTTGGACAATAGTTTATAATTTGCTATTTTCATCATATTCCGTAGTCATGTTTTTTTTTTTCGTTTTTCTTTTGTGAATTTCATGACTTGGTTGAAAGAGTTAGGAATGATATGAATTATATGGATTTGTATGAAGATGATGCATTGGACCATAAGGGATGAAGGAGGAAGATTTTGGCCGATGACTACACCGAATAATCAAATTTGGTTCATGTAGTCGACCCCACTTATAGGATTAAGACTTTGATTTGTAAATTTCATACGAAGTACTCCATAGTTATGGTATACCATATGATTGGATTTTTAAATTTTTAAAAATCAAAAATTTATGTATTTAAAGCTTAATATAAAAGGTCTAAGAAATGGATGTAGTAGTCATAATAAATAGTTTATCAAATATATGTAGTATTTTTCTAATAACTTAGTTTTCACTTGGACCACATTTAAATAAGTAGTTATAATTATACATTATTGTTTTATTAAATTAATAAATTTAATTAATATGTCCAATCCAAAGAAATAGTCCGAGTGTAGGTAACACAATTTTATCAAATACGTTGTATGAATTGTATTTTAGTAATTTAAATACCACTACTTTTTTCTTGTTAATATTCAGGGTGGTGTGTGAGCCGTTCCAATCATTGTCAACTTCATTGTCACCAAATTCTGCAACATCACTTTCTAAGAGTAAGTTAAAATTTTCACTTGCCAATAATTTTTATACGTATGGCATATTGGCATTATGAAGTTGGCAATTAAAAATCTCATTTGAGTTTTGCAAACGTTTGAGGAACATAGAGTAAGAAAGATGATTAGATTAGATTATTGGTGATTAAAGCTAAAGATTTAACCATAATATTAGATGTGGTTGACTAAATGTGAATAGAGAATAATAATATGGCTAGGTTTGATTGACTAGAATTGAAAAGTAAAAACCAAGATTATGAGATTTAGTTAATCAAAAGTGAATAAATAATAGACAATGGATTAATTTAATAAGACTTTTATTTTTGATCAATAATGTTAGATCAAGTGAGACTCTTATTTAAAAACAGAGGGAATAATTAAAGCACTCATACATATATCAGTTTAACGTACAATTGAGATTGTACATATATAAATAATTGATGCACCTGATTTAACATTATGTTGAGATTTCATTTTATATGAAATTCATCATGTTTAATCTCAACAATCCACAATTACTATACATATATATATATATTTTTTGTTGTAGAGAGAATTATAAAGTTTAACCAATCAAGCTAGTTGACATCCTCATTAATTACATACAGTGATTGTGGTGAATTGAACATGCAGGTGATGCTAAGAGGAAGCGTACTATTCTTTTAGTTAGTTTACCAATACTCGCTGCAACATCAATTATGTTGCTGTATGGAGTGTGGAGTAGTATGCGCAAGAGGAAGGCCACCCAAATATCTAATTGTTGTATGTAAGGCTTGAACTTGGACAATGGACATGCACATTTGTTAACCAACTTTGATAACATTTTTTGGTTTATTTATTGTTTGAACCTTTGTTCAGTGGAAGTGTGTGAGATTAAAAATGCTGTACTAGACTCCTTGCAATTTGATCTAAACGCGATTCGAACAGCAACAAACTTTGCTGCAGAAAACAAACTTGGAGAAGGCGGATTTGGTGAAGTTTATAAGGTAATATGAAAACAAAACTGTTTTTCAATTCTTTGATATGATCCCAAAATCTAGTATCCTTTGATTAGCCAAAATAATTGAAAGAATAAAGAGATTTTTATGATATTTCCATGTAAAACATGCTTGCTATGGGTTTTGCATTCAAGGTAAATTGATATTGTTTAACATGCTTCAAAAAGATCTTAATTAACATTATCATTATCACTCCATATTAGTTCTTTATTATTTAGACCTTTTCTACTAAATTGATCGGGTTCTACATGTGAGTTTATCACTAATTTTTCACCCCCCATGTTTCGGGGTTTTCTGATGTCCTGCGGGAGAGTTACAATTCCGAGACTGGAACCGGACGCCTGTACCTGCAAAATAACGGAGACTCCTGAGAGCTCCGCCTCCAACGGTCAAGTTAGTACCTGATTAAGGAGTAATTAATGCGGAAATTAAAGTAATAAGATCTCTCTAGGTGAGAGTGTTTAATGTTGGTAATCTGCTTTGTTAGCGAGATCAGCCGGTTATTAGTGTGTTCCGTAATGTTTCTGTTCTGTTCTTCAGGTGAGATTAATTGCTTGATCCTCTTTAATGAGGATTAATTAAGTATTTATAGTCTTGAGAAGCGTGCCACTCTCTAGGTTTAGGGTAAACCTAGGGCTGACCGGGCCTCTAAACAGGATTGGGCCTTGTTGGCCGGTTTTCCCATTTGGCATGGGTGGACACATGGCGTGTCTCAATTGGTCCGTAGAGGACGTATCTGTGATTGACACGTGGCAGGCTCCTATTGGCCTACGTGAAGGACACGTGGCGGAACCTGGTTGGTCCACTTGTCAGACGGTGATTGGTGGATAAAAATCCCCTAATCATTTGCCCCTCACAGGTGGCACGTGACTGGTCACGTGTCACCTGTGACAACTGCCGCACGGTGACAGGCGACGGCCTGCTACAGGTGTCACCTTATAAATGGCCGAGAGATTTTCCCGCCCAAATTTTGAATTTGGAAGCGACCCTTCGCCTTCTCACTTTGCCTATATAAGGAAGTGCTGACTTCGGTCATTTTCACATTTGAGAACTTTGTGAGAACATTCGGACCCCTGAACTTGCTCTGACATTTCGGACCTTTTCTGCCTACCGCCTGTTCTGACAAGCCGACTGCACAGGATTTTCAGAACTTCATCAACCGTCACTCGTTCAGGTAACTCAGTTCTCTTACTCTTAATTTTCTTTTTATTTTTTGAAATGGCACCACGGAAGCACACGACACGACCTAAGTTAGTGATCAGCCGGTCACCGGGGACGGCTGAATCTAGGACTAGGAGTGCCGCCTGCCCTTTTCTGGACCCATCTTTGCCCTTTATACAAAGTCCGACTGTATCTGTGTCTATGCAGAACGTGATGGCCAGAACAAAAAAGACTGCTATGATCTCAAACTCGGACGGCTCCTCCCAAAGGGTGCTCATTAGCGAAACATCTGACCAGGCGCCAGATGTAGAAGTGAAACGAGGCGGCTGCCAAGCCGACAGTTTTGAGGGAGGGGTCAAGGTGGTCCCTTCCCATTTCACCGTTGATATGTCTAATTTTCCTCCTTCTTCTTCTAAGGGAGAGGAGGCGGGCCCCTCTGGGAGAGGGGAGGAGTCGTCCTCTTCGGACTCGTCAGAGGACGAGTCCGAGTCCAGCTCTTCTGGCCACGCTTCTCCAGGCTCAGAAGAAAGAAACAACCGCCTACAAGAGGCGAGGCTTTCTCATGCAGTTGAGAAGGGGGACAATTGGGCGGAGCCGTCCTCCTCTTACAGAGAGGAAAACACCCCCTACTACTGCACGGTACCCCGGGGCCGGATCGCAGCCATGCAAGACAAAGTGGAGAGCTTTATAGCTAACCACAGAATGGGCCCCGAATTTTTACTGTTCGTGCCGGATCCAGAAGACACTGTCGTCTGGCCGGCTGGTACCAGCTATGATGACGGCTGCTTTGGCTGCTATGTGGCGGCCATCAAAGCTGGACTGCGCTTCCCATTACATCCGGTTGTTCAGCGGATTTTAGATGGGTATGATTTGGGGTTATGGAAGTTAGCCCCCAACTCTTGGGTAAACGTACTCGGCTATGTGGCCGGGTGCGAAATGTACGGGGTGGAGCCAAGCTTTGAGGCTTTCGCCCACATGAACTATCTCAGCCGGACCCCTAAGTCGGGAGGTACCGGCTGGTATCAATTAACAAGCCATAGGGGCTACCTCATGACGAGAGGTAAGGCGAACAAATAAAAGGATTGGCGGAACACCTTCCTTATTATCGAGGGTTCAGACACGGAGCTGAACAAACGCTTTAACAAGTGGAATAGGGATCCGCCTCTTCTCGCAGGCGGCCGCAGCATGCCACCTGTTCCCCCAAAGGCTAAAAAAGAGATCCTAGACAAAGGACTCTTCAAAGTAGAGACTAGGGTGAACTCTACTTCAGGGGTACGAGAGCAAGTACCCCTAAACTGCGTCCCGAGCTTCAAGTGGCTCTATGACGAGTACTTTTTGGCCGCATGTGGCCTCAACAGTCGGTGCTCTAGAGGTAGCCGGCCTGACAAATACTCTGTTTTTTCACGCCTTGTTTACTTGGGATTTTTACCAACTTTGCTGTTTATTTTTTGCAGCTGACGCCATGAGTAAAATAACAGCATCCAAGACTGCGGCGGCCATGTTGCGGGCCTCTCTCATGCAACAGTCTTGTACCGACTCCCCCAACAAGGGGGCACCCTTGGTAGGCTTCGAAACTCTTCCTCTTTTAGGAGTTGTCTTATGCATATACTAACTCTTTTTTTTTTTTTTTTTTTTTTTTAGTCAGGCACTCCAAGAGCTTCTTCCTCGCAACAGCCGGACCCCAAGGCCCGGAGGACGACTGTTGCAAGCTCTCCTGGGTCTTCCAGGAAAACAGTGGCGGCTGAGAAGCAGCCGGCCACTTCTTCTAAAACCCCGGCGGGGCCGCCTAGAAGTATGGACAATTACTTGTAAAAACTTTTACACTTGCTTCCTTCTTGACTAGGTCTAACTTGCTTTTTACGCTTGATGTAGCCGGCCCTCAGGGGCTTGACTTGGTAGAGGTAGCCAAGTCCATGATCAAAGTAGTTCCTCCATCTGAAAGGGAGACGGTCAGGGGTGTCGGCACCCTTGACCTTGATGGGATTGCAGGGGTCCTTGCTGAGGTATACTCTTTGAGTATTTGAATTCCAGGACGCCTGTTATCTTTTTTGTTTAGAAACTGACGCCTGTTGTTTTATTTTGTACTTAGGCCCTGCTCCGAGTTAACGGCCTTCGCAAGCCGCTTGATCGGAAGGACAAAGAGGTAAAGGCTGCAAAAGCTATGGCCGCCTCTGACTGTGACAAGGCAATGTTTCAAATTGCCCAAAATGAAGTACTGACCATTGATATTCTTTATTATCAGGCGCAGGCTACCGCCGCTGTTCGGGCTCAGTTAGAGGCGGCCCAGAAGAAGAATGACAAGCTGGAGGCGACCATCACAAATCTTAAGGCCGAGCTGAAACCTCTTCGCCAAAAAATGTACTCTTACGAAGCCATGGAGAAATCCTTGGCCAGCGTAAAAGAACGCCTGGTGAGCCAAGAGAAGAGTCTTACCCAAGAGCTCTCGGAAAAGGTCGAGCAAGAGAAGAAAGAGCTCGTCCAGGAGATGATGGAAGACTCCGCTCAAATCCAGCGCATGACATGGGGCCGCCTGTTCCCAATGCCGACTTTGCCTCTTGGGAAAGAACGTACCGCCAGTGTTCGGAAACATATAATCAAGAGATCCTGGCGGCTGCTGAAGAAGAGGCGTTGGGAGATGCGTTAGAGGAGGAGGAGCCGGTTGTGGCGCTTGTGCCACTTAGGGGTGAGGCATCAAAAAAGGATGCAGCTGAAGCCGAGTCCAGCAAGAAGAGTGCTGACCAGGCGGCAGCTGCTAATACTGAACTGCCCCCTTCTTAAGCTTAATGTATTCTTTCCACGGCCTGCGTGCCGTTTGCTTTGTATTTACCCGGCCAGGGGGCCGGGGCTTTGAATATTTTGCTGGTCTTTAATGACCGGCTTATTTTTAATGAATTTTTGTTTGCTTCAAATTTGTCCAAGTATTCCATATCTAATATCCCATTGTTTACTAGACCGACTGTTGTACATGGCCGAACGTTGCAGACAGGTACGGATAGTTAGTACGCCGCCTATGCCCCTGGACGACTGGTTGTCTGTTTCCAGGATAGACGATCAGTCGGCCATTTATTCAATCGGTATTCGAACTATTTTGTCTGGATCCTTTTTAGGCAGGCGTGCCTGTCTTTTTGTAATTTTAACCAAGTAGGAAAGTGGTCTGACCAAGTAAATAGAGTATTACCTAGTCGCCAAGGAATTTAGTAAAGATAGCAAGAGGCGGGTACCGGTTGTTTCTTTTTATGCCAATGTTGGCTTTTAACTCATAATTTGTTAACCTAGCAAGAGTAGTGGTTGAGAGCCCCTGTTTGTTAAAAACAGGCGGACGACTCATACCTTTTAGGCTCCATACTAAGTTTGAGTGACTGTTAAGTTAACATAGGAGTTACTTAGTCTTCGTCACAATCTAGATTGAGTAGTAGAGGTACCAGGCGGCGGAGGCCGGCTGATCCCCTTGATTTGCCAATGTTTGTTGGCTATTAACTCAATAGGTTACCTAGTAGGAATAGGGGTTTGAGTGCCCTTGTTTGTTAAAAACAGGCGGACGACTCAAACCTTTTAGGTTCCATACCAAATTTTGAGGGAGTGACTATGAGTTAACGTTGGAGTTACTCAGTCGCCGTCACTTTTGTTTGAGAAGTAGAGGTACCAGGCGGCGTAGGCCGGCTAGACCCCTTGATTCGCCAATGTTTGTTGGCTATTAACTCAATAGGTACCCCCTGCATTTATCCCAAGTAATACAGGCGGTCATCTGACTCAGATGTCAACTGCTACCACTGGTTTGGTTAGTGATAGAGTTATCCTTGTCTCAAAAACGGCTACGTGGTTGCCCT